GTGGGGGGCTAGAGGAGGGACAGTGGGGGGTGGGGAAGTTGGGGAGGGATAACACTGGGAGAAATGCCTGATGTAGGTGATGGGGGATGGAGGCAGCAAACCACAATGGCATGTGTGTACCTATGCAACAATCCTGCAAGATCTGCACATGTACCCCAGAATTTAAAGTACAATTTAAAAAAAGTTTAAATGGCTTTTGAGTATTGTTAAATGTCTGAATTCATTAAATGTTTTACTTCTAATTTCTTATATATTGGACTATGCTCACTACCTGGATGACAGGATCATTTATACATCAAACCTGCACATGCACCCCCTGAAACTAAAAGTTGAAAAAAAATCATAGGAATATGAAGTTGCCTCATATCAGTTTTCAAACTGTTTCATACAACCTGACTACTGTTGTACAACTGTTTAAACAATTGACGTTATGAGGGAGGTCACCTGTGCGATGCTATAGGTGTCCATGTTTGTTCTTTATTGTCAATGTGCATTGCAAATGTTTTAAAATAATGAAATGTTAGAATCATAAGAATGTTTACAATTTTATTTCATTTTTTTTCTGTTTTCATCTTGGCAATCTGTTCAGTGCAGTGTGGTCTCTGCATATTTACAATATCCATTTACAATATCCTTGCTTTTCTCTTCAGTGTCCCAAGATACTATAACAGAGCCTAAGTCTACACACATCAAAGTAAGTGATAGATTAAAAGACAAATGTCTCATGTTTGAATAGCTGTTTACCTGTGCCAAAATGAACTGATTAAATGGCCATTTCTTTAAAAGAAAAAAAAAAGCCAAAGTACAAAAGCTAAGAGACTCAGAAAGAAAGAGACACTTTCTATTTCCTAATATCACCTTATATACATATGCAATGTTGTAGTGTCAAAAGATAATTTCTCTGTAACATTTTTAAAATGTGAATCTGGGGATTATCTGAATATTCTATTTGTATGTTCAGGAGGCAAAGAATTATTTTCTCTAATTATAAGCTTTTGTCAATGCCATTAAAATTGATCTCTTCCTGTTCGTCTAATGTGACTAATAATTTAAGGTAGCTCAATAATAATTACTTCTCCTACATGTAACTCCTAAATAAAAGATACACAGATTTTCAAAAGGATATGTAATAGCAAGTTTACGGTGTGAAATCTGGCAGACAATATCTTAACCAAATGATAAGCCATCTAATAGCATATGCCCCTGATATGGTATAAAGAAAAGGGAACATCACCTGTGTGGTTTCCTTTTTCAAACCATAACTTCAGAACATTCATAAGAAAATATAAGGAAAACCCAAACTGAGGGACATTCTACAAACTACTTGACCAGGACTCTTCAAAAGTACAAAGGCCATGAAAGGGAAGAGCAGGAAACAGTCACAGAGCTGAAGAGACTAAGGAGATATAATGACTAAATGCAATGTGGTATCCTAGCCATCTAGGAAAAGAACACAGTGGAAGAACTACGGAATCTTCGTGAAGGCTGTAGTTTGGTTAATAGTATTGTGCCAACGTTCATTTCTTAACTTTTATAAGTATATCAAGGTTATGCAGAAAGTTAACATTAGAGGAAGCTGGGTGCAACATGATGAAACCCCATCTCTACTAAAAATACAAAAAATTAGCTGGGCATGGTGGCGCGTGCCTGTAATCCCAGCTACTCAGGAGGCTGAGGCAGGAGAATTGCCTGAACCCAGGAGGTGGAGGTTGCGGTGAGCCGAGATCGCGCCATTGCACTCCAGCCTGGGTAACAAGAGTGAAACTCTGTCTCAAAAAGAAAAAAAAAATACTCTGTGCTATATTTACAACTCAAAGATAAAATTATTTCAAAATAAAATGTTTATTTTAAAATGAACTTGTAAGTCTGAAATAAGATAAGTTTGTTAATTCATGAAACTTCAGTAAAATATCAAGAGTGGGATGCAAGAAGTTCAGTTCTGGTATATATCTATATCTATATCATCTATACCTACCCCTAAAGATAGAGATAGACATACACAAATAGACACACACACACACACACACACACACACACACACACACACACACAAAACTAAACACACACTCTAGCTTTTTAATAAGGATGAGATGGCAGGGATAGGAAGTGTGTTCTGCTTTAGTACAGGCAATAAGATGCACATAAACTTTAAAGTCCTCATGAAATCTAAGATTTCTGTTTAATATTTATGATAATTCTTTCTTTCCTAAGCCCATTAGCTCACTTCTCCATAATGCATCAGTTCAGAGTGACATCTATAAAAGTGTTTCTTGCCAGGTTTTTCCCTCTAAAATTCGTATTCCTTATCCCATCTGGCTTTGCAAATACATGAAATATATATGTTGCATCACATTATTTAAAGCAGTTTCCAATGACATTCACTGACTGCACGCATGGCTTAACTGTTCCAACATCTGATGCAAATGGCTTATTTAATTCTCCTTGGATCAAGCCACTCATCTTTGGGTCTGACTGTTGCTTATCATCATCTGTGGAGCAGTCTGCTCTACTTTTCTTCCGTCTGTTCAGGCTTAGGCAAGCTTACTGTTGAGCAATTGCATTCTTGCCATTGCCAAAATAGGTTTTATTTTATGTAATTTTACACAGCAGAACTGCTCCCCTGACAGTAGCCACCCCACTAAATCCAAGCTCATCAAACTCACTGTAATAGCAGTGGAAGAGATAAAGCCAAGACTCCTTTAAGTGTTCATGTCAGGAAACAAAGATGCAAATCCTCAGAGTACATATTTCTGTTTTTTTTTACCATTCAGGACTAGATGACCAATTCAGAAAAAAGGGGAGCTACCACATTATCATCTGTGATATTCATTCAGTTGAATTTAAAATGCCATTACAAAGATAATATTTGATCTTAACCATAAATGCCATATATCTAGCCATGTCTGGAAGCTATGAAGTAGTAATGGTTTTCAGGAAATACAAATCTCTCTATGAATATCAATTTAAAATGAGCTTGTATCTTTTTTTCCTTTTGACAGAGGATGAAAGTGATTGCTCAATTTTTGCATTACACTTTGCAGCTTTCAAAGTGATTTGATAATATGTATGCATCCAAAAAATTGGGAACAAAATATTTTAGGAATTTACCAAATGACTAGCAACTTTGAGAGAACACATTGATGTATGGCTGTTCTCTTGTACTGATATTTAAAGGAAGAAAAATGGGGCAGTCTTGCTCTCTTCACTGAGACTGGGAAAGAGATGCTGTTGCATTATTCCTTGTTTTATGTTAATATGTATTCCTTGTTTTATTTTAATAAGATTATGTGAGAAGTCCAAGACCAGATAAAAATATGATATTGTCATTTGTGAAATATTATTTTCCTTTATCTACATCACATCTGAAAATAATGATACTGCAAATGTCATTTGTTTTGTATTTTGTCTTACATTTTATACTTAAACTCTTATGTGATTTTGATCTAATAAAAACATAACTCAGGAAAATAAATCAATGGCATACATTTTATCAAAATGAACTTGTGATACTTTACATAATTCAATAACTTTCTAGTAGACCACAGTAAGACATAATATTCCCATGGGGACAGATTCACGTTCTTAGAGGAAGTGCTCACCTAACTGATAGGCAGCACAAAGAAGCACACCAAGAATGTTCTTGGGGAAGAGAATATCCCAGCAGTGTATGGTCTGATGAACTTAGCGTGTTTTATCCAGAGGAAGAGAGCAAAATGGGCCTGATGTGCCCAATATATACTTCATCAACAGTGAGCACTTTCTTCTATATCTGCCAAAGCAGAACCAACCGGAACAAAAGCAAAGTACTTATCAGTCCTCTATAGAAATGATGTAAGAGGTAAATAAGAGGTAAACATCTTACTCTGTTCAGTTCATTTACCTCTTATAGTTATTTTAAACAATAGCTTTATTGTTATTGTAAACAACTTTATAATAAATAAAGTTATTGTTCTTCTATAAAGTTATTAGAAGACTGGTAAGAAAATGTATTGCTGACATTAAATAAAATCAGCTTAATATGTATAGATTGTTATGCAGAAATTACATTGCAGTACGAAGTGGATATTTCTGTTACATTATGGGTCAATGTGGCACAGATGACTAGTGTCCAACAAAACTTTATACTCTCTTTCCTATGGAAAATTCAGTGCTGTAAGCTATTGACTCTCCAAGGAACTACATTTTCCAGACTGCCCTCATATCCAAGAAGCATGTAATTAGTTATCTCCAGTGGAAGTCACTTCCATGCTGGGATTTTCTTTTTTTTAATTCTCCATTATCTTTTTGTCTCTTGACCTAAGAACCCCTAAGTAATTTCAAAGCCACAAAATGGAAGGAACCCAGGTCTCTGATTTATTACATGGAGGAAACTTCCTAGCTCCAGGAACACCAGTGTAGAACTGTTAAACTTGCTAGGAATAAGCTTTTATCACATTAATGCTAAATTTACTGTTAAGTTGTTACAGCAAAAACCCTATCTTACACAGTCACTTATTGATCCAACAACACATTAAGATAAATAGGTATAAAAAAGTCAGCATCATCAATAATTATATCCTATGAAAGCTTCAGTGTAAGGGAGACAGAATAAACAGAAAACAAACTCCTTTAAGAAACATGTAATTAAATATAGAAGCAAGAAAGGTAAAAATACCATTAATATATATGCCATCACATGAGCAAAGTGCTGAATTAATATGACATTTAAATGTGAGTTCATAAAAACCTTTGCCTTTTTTGAAAAGAGGTGTCTAAATTATGCTTTATATGGTGAGAACTGTAATCTCAGACTTAATACCTAATTGCCTGATGTGGACTTGTACCAGATATGATACACTATTTTAAGGATTAATGGTAGAAGGACCTGAACTTCCACTACATAAATCAGCCCTCCCAACTATTCTGAATATTGAATTTGCCACCGGGCCACTGTGATTAGTCCCCCAGGCCACAGAGTGTCACTAATTTGCCTACTTGGTAACAATCTGGGTGTTCCCAAACAATTATTTTGGTCGTTTAACTCACACTAAAAGATAGAATACAGATATCTTTGTCATTCTCTGAATATCACTATCCTCTTTTCTCACATTTTCTGCAGAGGCCATTGTTGGCAAAGTCACCTAAATTCTCCATGGTCTAGAGCAAATCCCTTATTAAGAAATCTAACAAAGAACAATTCAGCAGAAAAATATGAACTCAATGTGTAAAAGACCATGACTTCCATTTCTTAAATGATGAGGACTAAGCACCAAGTGTAATAATTAATCTTTCTTGTGGGATCTCTCTTTGGTTACTCAGGTTTCTACTTTAATTTTTCTTCTCTTGTAAACATGCTGAGAAACAATTCAACTCAGATCTCCCGTAACCTATCAGTTTCTAATTCCACAGAAACTACATCCTTTAACACAGATGCCAAACTCTCCTCATAAGCTTTAGAAGGCCTAAACCATGCCCAAGGCTCCCTGGAGTCAATCTTGTGAAGGAGAGAGGCTATTTCAGAGCTAAGGGGCAAAGTGGGAAGCAATGCTTTAAATAATGAAAAGGAGGTCCATCATCCCATTCTCCCTACCCTGTTCTGCTCTTTCTTTTCTCCATAGCATGGATCATATTAGATCACATCACACCATGCTGTCTATTGTCTCTTTCGCTATTGGAATGTTAACATTATAAGGGGAAACATCTTACTCTGTTCGGTTCACTTACATATCTCAAGTCTCAAGTGTGCAGATTTTCCCATGTAGACACTCAGCAAATATTTTCTGAAAACATAAATGGATGAATGTCAAACCAAGCACCATTCATGTCACCACAATGTCAAGAAACAACTAGTCGTATTCCCATGAGCAGGTCTATTCTAGTCTTATCAAGACTAATACGGTAAGATGCTTATTTTTGTGTCTCTGGGCTCCTCCTCCACCTCTTATTTCAATCCAAAAGGAAAACTTTGTAATTCTTGCTTTCTGGAATTTGGCACAGGAGAAGGCAACAAAAGCCTGTAGTCAATAGCTTGGCTTGTTTTTTGAAAATGCATCAGGGCCATTGAAGAGAGTAGGCCAGATGTCCCAGTGGAGAAGGTTAAGGGAAGGACAGCCTCATGGTAGAATAAAGCAAAAGTCCTTAGCTTGAGAAGAGACAAAGGTTGGCAGGTTCCTGGATAAGCAATGACAAAAGAGGTTCACTCAGTGGCTTGGCAGCTCTTAAAACACGGAAACATTGGCACATCATAAGAGGGTAGAGGCAAACTGGCTGCATTTGATTTTTCCCTTTAGTTGAATAGAGATTCAGAACTAAGATTTTTAAGTCAATAATATGGGATTTTTTGCATACCTGAGATTATGAGCTCTAAATTCTACTACACAAATGTTATGCTATCTTAGGCTTTAAGAACTTAAGAACTCCAGGTTGATTTGGCTATTTTCTGGATTTTCAAATGACTTGTTACAGACTAGGAAACATCTAATGACCCTTTGGTGTAAAAAAAACCCCTTGGATTTGTGACTGGCTGAAATTTATGACCTGGAAGTTCTAAACTAATTTGATCCCTCCAGAGCAATTAACCACAGAAAATATCTCATATTGACAACCAGAAGATAGCATTAACAATACCATCTGCTTCTCTTTACATTCTCTCTCATCCTAGTAGTCAAGGTTCACTAAATTGGCCTGACCTAAAAGGAGAAAATGAGTAGAATGGCAAAAACTGAGAGGAATAAATAAGACTCACAGCTAACATTTTTTCTTTTCTTTTTTTTTTTTTTTGAAATGGAGTCTTGCTCTGTCACACCAGGATGTGCTGGAGTGCAGTGGCATGATCTCGGCTCACTGCAACCTCTGCCTCCAGGGTTTGATTCTCCTGCCTCAGCCTCCTGAGTAGCTGGGATTACAGGAGTGTGCCACCAAACCTGGCTAATTTTTGTATTTTTAGTAGAGACGGGGTTTCACCACCTTTGCCAGGCTGGTCTTGAACTCCTGACCTCAGGTTATCCACCTGCTGTGGCCTCCCAAAGTGCTGGGATTACAGGCATGAGCCACCATACCCAGCCAGATAACTTTTAATTATATAATCAGGTACTTAAATTTAATGCCAAATAAAACTTAAAATGTTTAAAAAGGATAGCGATATGTTTAAGTGGGAAAAGATCTTTCATATGTATTCAGACCATTTTTGGGAAATGTACAGGCAGTTGGACTCTGAGAAAGATTCTATACAAGTTCCCCCAACAAATGTTAATGTTTGTAAAATATATTAGCAGAAAGAGTGAGAAAGAGAGAGTGAGAGAAAGGGTGAGAGAGAGAGAGAAGGGGAGAGGAAGGAAAGAAGGAAAAAAGGAAGGAAGGAAGGAAGGAGAGAGAAAGGGAAAGTGTTAAGGGACTGGACTGAGTTTTATACCTGATTTTTCAAGTAGAAGAAAATATATGAGTCCATAATTACTGGACCTGAAAATCATTTGAAAGAATGTTCTTTCTGCGACAGGAAGGAAAGCGAAATGTGAAGTTTTCAGAAGGGAATAAATTAATTAAATTAGAAATAATGGCTATCTTCTTCAGGACATTTCTAAAGAGAAGGAATCTTAGGGAAGAATTATAGAAGAGAGACTAGAACTTCAGGGACTTGCTGAGTGTCCATCCCTGTAGATTTCTAATATACTCGTATATATTCCCAGGATGGAAGGAAGGGTGAGGAGCAGAGAAGGGAAGGGAATCCCTGGTTTACACTAAAATTAACTCCAGATGAATTAAATATTTAAACATAAGACCTAACACCATAAAAATCCTAGAAGAAAGCCTAGGCAATACCATTCAGGACATAGGCATAGGCAAGGACTTCATGACTAAAATACCCAAAGCAATGGCAACAAAGGCCAAAATTGACAAATGGGATCTAATTAAACTTAAGAGTTTCTGCACAGCAAAAGAAACAATCATTAGAGTGAACCAGCAACCAACAGAATGGGAAAAAATTTTTGCAAGCTACCCATCTGACAAAGGCCTTATATCCAGAATCTACAAAGAACTACAGCAAATTCACAAGTAACAAACCCATTCAAAAGTGGGCAAAGGATATGAACGGGCACTTTCCAAAGAAAATATATATGAGGTCAACAAACATATGAAAAAATGTTCATCATCACTGGTCATTAGAGAAATGCAAATCAAAACCACAATGAGATACCATATCACACCAGTTAGAATGGTGACCATTAAAAAACCTGGAGACAACAGATGCTGAAGAGGATGTGGAGAAATAGAAACACTTTTACACTGTTGGTGGGAGTGTAAATTAGTTTATCCATTGTGGAAGACAATGTGGTGATTCCTTAAGGATCTAAAAATAGAAATTACATTTGACTCAGCAATCCTATTACTGGGTATACGCCCAAAGTATTATAAATCACTCTTATTATAAAGACACAAGCACACGTATGTACTTAGAGGCACTGTTTACAATAGCAAAGACCTGGAACCAACCCAAATGCCCATCGATGATAGACTAGACAAGGAAAATGTGGCACATGTATACCATGGAATACTATGCAGCCATAAAAAAGGATGAATTTGTGTCCTTTGTAGGGACATGGATAAATCTGGAAACCATCATTCTCAGCAAACTGACACAAGAACAGAAAACCAAACACCGCATGTTCTCACTCATAGGAAGGGTATTGAACAATGAGAACACATGGACAAAGGGAGAGGAACATCACACACTGGGGTCTTTTGGGGGGTGGGGGGCTAGGGGAGGGGGTGGTGAAGTTAAGGAGGCATAACACTGAGAGAAATGCCTGATGTAGGTGACGGGGGGATGGAGACAGCAAACCACTATGGCATGTGTGTACCTATGCAACAATCCTGCAAGATCTGCACATGTACCCCAGAACTTAAAGTACAAAAAAAAATTTTTTTTTAAGACTGAATCTAAGTCAAAGAGAACTTTCTTTCCTATTGAAGTATCGGTTCATGGGTGAAGCATTCTAATATCTCCATATTTTTCCATGTGCTCCCTTCTTCTACACACTTTGGGTTCCTTTGGCATTGACAGAACTTTGTGTAGGCCCTTATTCAGTACTAGCAAATTGTGGATAGGCTTTCCTCTAGCGTTCCTCTCTCACCCAGCAGTGGAAGCTTGAGGACAGGGGCCATAACTTATTCTGTTCTGTATTCCCAAGGGTCATTTACTCATAAAATACTTATGAAGCATCTATTATGTACCAAAACTTCTGCTAGGTAGAGATGATGAAATTGCAACAATACTAGCAATATCTCTGGCCTTCTGAAGATTACATTGGACAAAGAGTAAACAAAAAAATAAAGAAAAACAAAGAAAAAAATGAATTATTTTAAATTACAATAATTTCTATGATCTAAAAAAAAAAAAAAGAAAGAAAAAAGAAAAAAGTCCTGGAGTGGTGGCTTACACCTGCAATACCAATCTCCCCGGAGGCTGAGACAGGCAGATTGCTTGAGGCCAAGAGTTTGAGACAAGTTTGGGCAACATAGCGAGACTCTGTCTCCATGAAAAGTTAAAAAAAAAAAAAAAAGAAAATCTAGCTGGATGTGATAGTACACAATTGCAGTCTAGCTACTTATATGGATGAGGCAGGAGGATTGAAGGTAGGAGAATCGAAGATTGAGTTACAGTTGCACTCCAGGCTGGGTGACAGAGCAAGACCCTGTCTCCAAAAAAATAAAAAAAAAAAAGTGGTGGGGAGAGAGAGATAGAAATGAGGAATAGTGGAGGAGCAGAGCAGAGGAGGCACTTCTTTAGGTCGTTTAATCAAGGCAAGTCTCTCTGAGAGGGGATAGCTTAAACTGAGATTTGAAGGAAGAGAAAGAGCTGTACATTTCTCTGTGCAAATGGTGTGTGCACATCAGTGGTGGGGCCTGTAAGCAGAAGAAAAAGCATGTGCAAGGCTCTGAACAAAACAAAACTTGATGTGCTTATGTAATTAAATGCCAGTGAATGTGAACACAGGGAATAAAGAGAGCATAGTATGGGATGGGGTGAGAAGATAGACAGTCTTGGAAGTCAAGGTAAGAAATTTTACTCCAAGAACAATGGAAGACCATTGCAGTATTATAGGCATGAAAGTGACATTATCCAATTTGGATTTCGAGAAGAGCACTTTTGTATGAGGAATAGATTTGTATGGGAGACAGTTTTAGGAGGTTTTCAGAATAATCTCAATGACAAATGTTAAATTCTTGACCCAGAGGTAGATAACAGAGATGGAGAGAAAAAGGCAGATCAAAGATACATTTTAGCCATTCGCTTCCCAGAGTGTCCTGAAGGCCTGAATATAAGCATTGACAGAAAGAGTGAGAAATCCAGGATGAGTCTCAGGCTGAGAAACTATTCAGAACATAGAGATGGGAAGATATTTTCTAGTAGTAGAAGGAACAGATGGTTACAGGTTGGGGAGGGTAGAGTGGAAAGAAGTCAAGAGTTCCATTATAGCGATTTGACAAACATGTGAGCCATCCAAGCGCAGATGTCAAGTAAACAGTTGCATAGACTGGTTTGGAGCAAGGAGAAAATTTAGCCTGAGTGGAACATTTGGGGTCAACAGCATAAGATGTAATTGAATTTATAGCAATTACCCAAATACAGAATATATGAAAAGAATTCAGTATCTTCCAGGGTGCTTATTGCACATTTGTTGAATGAGGACAAGAATCTGGACCAATAAGATAAAAGTTCTTGCCTCCATTCCTGGCCTTCTGCAACCACTGCCATTCGACCTTTTTCATGACAGTCATCTACCTTGATTTCCACATAGTATCTACTGCTTAACTTCCCAGGTATCCCATCCATTTAGTTCAACTCTTTCATATCATGTCCTAAGGAGACCCTGCACAACAAATAGCTTTACTCCCTAGTGCCAGGATTCCTATCCTTCATATTTTGATCTATCTTGCTGACAGTGGGCTTGTGATTCTGATAAGAACACAAGCAAAAAGTATATTTCCAGATGGTTCTCGAAATTAAGGGAGATGGTGAGACTACTGGCAAGTATGTTTAAAGAAAAATACATAAATAAATAGAGTCTAGGATAGCCAGGCATGGGCATGTGTTTAGATAATTAAAAGAAAAAAATTTTACAGGTCAAAGTATGATTGAATACACCTCAAACATTTCTGTACAGTTTCCATTTGGGGTAAGTGATTTTCTATAAACAATTACATGACTCTAAGCTGTCAGTTTTGTTTAAATTAAGGATTTTGAGATCTTAAAAGTTGTGCTCCACTTCCCAATCAAACATACTATGTGTTTAAGGAAACAAAATATGATGCATGTAAAT